CCGCCCCCCCAACACACACACACAGCTGCAGCACAGAAAGCAGTGCCAGGGGAAGAAGTGGCCCTCTTGGCCTCTGTCCCCAACCACTTTTTCCTCCTGCAACCTTTGTCCCCCACACTGCTCTCCACAGGGTCTGTCCTCTTTTACCTCCCCACTCCTCAGAGTCTCTACCCTTCCTCCTACCCCTCTTTACTGGCAAATGCAGCTCCAGTTCCATTCCCTCCTGAGTCATGGAGCACGTGGAAGCGTGGCATCTGCCTGACCATGAAGCAGCGTTTGGAGCCTTGAACTGTGCCATGGCTGACTTGCTGGGCAGGGGACAGAGCTTGCAAGTCCGTCGTCCTGGGAAGGAATCTAGCCAAAGCTAGAGGTGTGCCAAAGGGGAAGGGGTAGAGGCTGCAGAGACCAGGTTGGAGGGGAGGGAGGGGATGGCTGCTGTGGCGCCGACTCAGGCTGCCTGCCCCTCCCCTCTGCCCTATACTCGAATCCAAGAGAAGGGGCTTTTTCCCCTGTGTTGAATGGGATTAACAACTTTGTTGTGGACTTGAGTAAATACAGTATTAATGAGAATGACAAATGCCTTGCACATGGTACACAATTACGATGCATAATTGTTTTTATTTTAAACCAAAACAGGTGATAATTTTGAGCATTCCAGCCTAGGATCATAACTTATAAATCAGTTTTCCCTCTTACATAGCATTGCATAGGTTTAGAATCATGTGCGCTAATGAAGTAGCACCGCAAACACAAGACACGCCGTGCTTGAAGTACCAGATAGATGAGAATAAGAAGGTCTTTGGAGACCTTGGAGGGGAAACTGACTTGAGTTAATGTAACCAATCAATGATATGTTTAGTTCATCTGTAAAGTGCCGATAAACAAATATGGGAGACTAACAGATCAGTGTGTCACTGGTGCAGAGGCAGACTTTGGATATGTGAAGAATCCTAAAAACTTTTTGTTTTGAGAGTGAGTCTGGATTGGATAGTTTGATTTAGAGGAAGAGGATACGATTTCCAATCTTCTGTTTATGTGCGTCTTTAAAGACTTCTGGCCCTTTTGACATAAACTTTAAATGTGTATACAAGGGGATTTTTTTTGTTTTTGTTTTGTTTTTCCACTTGAATCATTTGGCTTGCTCCCTACAAATAAGAGATGATGTAGAACATAATATTCCACACAGTTCTTCCAGGACATGAAGAGAATGGGGAACAAGAACTCTCATGCTCTAATGAGCAATTTATGCCCTAATGGGAAAACAGATAGAAGATAATGGCAAGGTCATTCTGTGCCTGAAAGCTTGGCCAGCTTCCCCAGTTACGTAGTTGGTACAATGAAAAATATCACGGGAAAAGAAAACCTTGTCTCATACACTTTCTGGATGTCTGTAACAATACTTCAGCCCTATTACAACATGAGATGATGGACGTTCAAATTATCTAACTTTGCCCTTTCTTGGGCCCTGTAGGATGCAAACACAAGATGTCTGTCAGCAGTAATCTCAACTTCCTGCTCAAGTCTTCAGTCTTCCTGCAGCTTGCTTCCTATTTCTTCTGTCTATAATTAGAGCCAAGACTATGTGAGACAGGAATCTTTCAGGCTGTTACCTAACACGGCCCTGCTTAAAGAGAGAGCACAATGTGGACAGTCTTTGGTATGGGCTAAAGGGCACTAGAAGCTGTAGCTCACGTGGTTCAGGCTGGTTGAAGACAACCCTCAGTTGACCCTAAATATAAGCATCAATGTGGCTTGCTGTTTGATATTGAGAAATTGCAATTGCATGCCAATTGTTAAGGATCAGAAACAAGTGTTGACTAGATTAAAGGAGAAAGAAGGTTTAATGGGAAGCTTAAACTTGAAAGCCGGCTTTTAACAGAAAATGCAGTTTGGAGTACTGTATCTTTGAAGAATGAAGAGAATAGGGATAGGTGGTTGGCTTGAGTCTCTAATTCTATCAGTTCTGTATGTGTGTGCGCACGCATGTGCACTTTTTTTAGCTGCCTCCTTTTGCGGACTCTATCGGTACTTCTCTTGTTCAGTACTAAAACATAAATGCTATAGTCCAGTGTTCTTTTACCCTATTTGAG